CACATGACTATATATGAATTCGTGGGCACAGTCACCAACACCCCCACTACTTTTCCCCCGACCGTCTCGCACTGGTCACTAACACTTGATCTTTCCGTAGGCCTTACTAGCACACTTGTAGTCAACACATCCTCTGTTCCTCGTCCCTGACACAACACCGTAATAACACGTTTTCTGTCAGCTCTTGGTCTCTTCGCTCTCGTCCCAGGAGCGTCTGCTGGATCCTTTGCCCTGCTTTTACCAGGTCACTGCTGTGGCGGGAGCGTCAGCAGGACTCTAGCACTGCTCGAGCAGGCACAGCAGCAATTACTTTCCTTGGTGCAAAAGTCGTCCACTTCTTTTCTTTCTTCTATCACTCTTCCTCTTTTTCCGACTCCGTCTAGACTACACTGATTCTTCCTTCAGCCCTGCTGGGTCATCCCACCCAGCCCTTCCGCCGGCATTCCGACCGCGACAAAATACGAGCTCAAAAGCTCCGGCCGAAGCTGCCACGCGCTCAGCAGCTAGTCTCTTCTTGTATATATATATATATATATATATATATATATATATATATATATATATATATATATATATATATATATATATATATATATATATATATATATATATATATATATATATATATATATATATGTGTGTGTGTGTGTGTGTGTGTGTGTGTGTGTGTGTGAATGTATCTCCAACAATATATCCCAGGGTATATCCAAATTTATCATTACACCAAATATTGTAATGTGTCCCAGGCAGACAACAATTTCGTAAAGAATCTCCTTAATAATCAGTCATCTTATTCTGTAAAAACACAAATATTACCTCTGTTCCAGCGAAACGGTTGCTTTCGAACGTTTTTGGCGGGAAATTCCGGTGTTACTTTTCCAGAAGGGTGACAAAAGCGGATAGAAAATAATATTTATCTTTGCAACACTGTATTGTATCTTTTTAATCCTATTTCATTGTTAATGTTACTTTTAACGTGTATATATCGAATATTCAAGATATTCACTTGTTGCTATCAAGATTCAACATTTCCCTTCCGTATAACAGATCTCTTTAGCATTTGATATGACAGCGAGCGATTATTCGTCATTTAATCGAAGGTAGTGTGGTGAGGCATTAAATGGAGCGTCGTAATGAAGGATTTTTATCAATATTTATCAATGCGTTAATAGTGCACATTTTTTGTTTTTAAGATTAGAAATGGGTTTCATCATTTCAAAAAAAAATCATACTTTGTAAACAACTCGTGTTTTTTGTGTTTGATTTCATGTTGGTGTGTAAATATGTATCTCTCTCTCTCTCTCTCTCTCTCTCTCTCTCTCTCTCTCTCTCTCTCTCTCTCTCTCTCTCTCTCTCTCTCTCTCTCTCTCTCCCTCTCCCTCTCTCTCAAGGGTTCTGTGAGCTATATATATGTACCCCGATAGGCCGCTTAGGGGTCAGAACTGCGCTACGTTCGGTCCCTCCCAAATTGTGCATAGGGTCATATGACAGTGGTGGATCCTGTAGGAAAAGGGCAAGGGAGGATGGGAAGGATTTAGGAGAATATAAGGAATATAAGGAAAAACTTAGGTATGTGAGGATTAGGGGGTGAGGATGCAGGTTGCAGGTTGTGGCAGGAGAAGAGGTTTCCAACCTCGTACTCTCACTTTCTCTCTCTCTCTTTCAAAGTCAACCGGTTTCCCCGCTCTCCCTCTCTCTTTCTCTCTATTTCCCTCTCTCTCTCCCTGTTTTTCCCTCTCTCTCCCTCGCAGTTATTCATTTTACATGTTTATAATGCAATACATTTACGAGGATCCCTGGCCCGCCTCCCTCCCACTCCAATCACATCTCTTTCTCGATGTGGTACTTGAACGGGATCTCCCTCGACGTGGGCTGCCACTTCTCCATCCACTCTTGGAACTTTTCCTCGAGGTCCGGCGTGAAGAAGTTGGTCCAGTCCCCCGTAATGCCTGAGGAATGAAACGTGAGGCTGTCCCTGTGTTGACACTGAGCTATGGGATGGCGGGGGTGATATGTCGAGAGGCTTCAATGTATAGCAAGATATATAACGTATTACTGAAAAAAAATATGTATACCAAGATGTATACTGAAAAAATAGGTATAGCAAGATATATAATGTATTACTGAAAAATCGATGTATGATGTATTACCGAAAATATAATGTGTAGGTACAATAAAACAATGCTACAGTAGGAAGGGAAGACAAACGTGACGTTTCGAACTTGCCGAAAGTTTCTCAACAGATGTTGTGAAAACCAGAATAATCAATTTTCTGACACAGAATTCATGGCATTTTGAAACGGTTTTTATGTAATATCTACCATGACATTATTTATTAGCCTGAGCAAAACATTGTCTGGTCAGATGATACGGGAAGCGAATAGCTTTGCCTCTCACCTTTCCTGATGAAGTCCGCCTCTCCCTTCTTGAAATTCCCGGCCTCCTGCAGGGCGGCGGTCGGGTTGGTGGCACCTCTGCTCTTCATGCCGGGGAAGGAGGC